CTAAAATGAAAATTTGAATACGATTAAAACAATATAAGAAAAGTCTTATTTAATTTTTAAATAGTAAAGTAACTTATGAATCACCCTGTACTGACATACACATGCATGTCAATTTGGTAGTAAAAGAACCAATGATGTTTGTGCTTTAGATAGTAAATACGGACGAAAGAGAACTCTCAATTAATAAAGGTAATTAAGTCCATTTTACATTTCAAACGTTGATAATGTTCATTAAATAATTACATTAGCTGTTTTCGAAACTTTATATGATCATTTATGGTACGAGAGCATGACATTTAACATCGAAAATTCCTGATTTTTATGCTGAATAACGCTGCCCGGATATTTGACTTTGAAATTGGAGAAACGATTCCTCCTAAAGGAATTTTTTACAAAGTAAATGTTTTTTAAATGTTAATGTTTCGTAAATATATTTCAAAAATTTGTAGCACAAATTCTGAATAAAAGTTACTGCGCAATTTCTGTGGAAAAAGGTTAAAAAGCGCGAGATTTGGAAATTCACCAACAGAGTATTATGTCTGTTATAACATACTATAATAGATGGTAAAACGAAGAGAGAAATGAAAAACTAGGAACGGTTTAAAAAAGGAGACATTTTAGTGAAACATTTTTCTTCATACCATCGTTTCAAATTTAAATTGAAATATTATAATAATACGAAATAATATCGAATTTTAAAAGTCACAGTGTCATTTTTATATCTGTAACGTGTAAAACATAATTAAAATAATTAAATCAAAAATCGTGATTAGAAAATTACTAGTTTGTTATAGGTAATAATATTATAATAATTATATTATATTAATTAATAATAATTAATATTAGACAATTTTTTATTTTTAATTAAATTAAAACATTATAATAACACGAAATAATATCTAATTTTAAAAGTCATAGTATCATTTTTATATCAGTAACGTGTTAAACATAATTTAAATAATTAAATCAAAAATCGTGATTAGAAAATTACTATTTTATTACAAATAATAATATTATAACAATTATTATATTATATTAATTAATAATAATTAATATCACACACCATTTTTTATTTTCTAACTATATTCTTATATTTGAATACACAAAACGAGAATATCTTTAAAATTTCTCTTTATTGAATACTAATTTTATCCAACAAAAGAATTCCAATATAATTTCTCAGAACACGCACGAAAAATTCTGAAAACTAAATAAAAAATTCCCGATCTTAAAATTTTCTCCACAATAAATTTTAATTTTAACACTAGCATAAACGTCGACTAGACACGAACGTGTAACTCTTGGAGCCCAACTAAATGAGTTTGCGATGGAAACGCGCCCTAAACGTTTCGCCTCGCTCGGTGAAAGCCAATTCGAAATATCCGTTCCAAGCCCCGTTACACGCGCGTGCTTCCTTCCCGAATAAAAAATTCGAAAGTAACGTGATCGAGTCCAGGAAAAAAAACCCAATCATTTTTTGTACGAATTTAAAAAAAAAAAGAAAAAAAAATGATAAAAAAATGCAGCAACAAAAGGGAACATTTTGATATTCAACACGTGCAGCAAGGCTGCAACGCAATGAACGACAATGTAGCGACAAGTGTTGTTGACGTAGATCTAAAGGCATCGTACGAAGTACGCCCAATGAGGTTTATCGTGCAAAGGAAAACAATTCGTGCGTGTTTACACAGTCTGGTGGAGGTCTGCACGAGATAGAGATATGCTTATTGCAGGGATATAATCCTCGATCAGAGGCGGTTAAGGCTAATAGTTTGCGTTTCCATGTTTTCCTTGTGTAAGAATATACGTGTCAGTGGCGCCCCCTACCCGCGAGTTCGCGTGTGAAGATAAGGCATACGTGTGTATAGTAAACTGACAAACGACGATGAACTGTGATTACAGGAAGGAAAATTAAATTGTATCCGTTGAAAAGAATTTTTTCGCGCTTTGTACAGTCGGTGATAAAAATATAAGGTTATAGGAATGTTTGATAATATTTGTATTATCGTTATATTTTGGTATAATTATGTTTTAATCATCGGTAATTATAAATAATGTTTATAATTTGACTTTTGCTATATATTATTTTGTAAGCAATGCTTTTTTTGGTTCATATATTGGGTGAAAATATATATCTGTATGTTAGTAATTAATTAATAATTTTCTACAATTATTCGCCATTTTTTAAATTAAATTTTTTACTTTTTCTCTGCCCTCGTAAAACCATTTAGTATGAGGAATTTCATAACCTCAAACCAGACTTTCATGAAAACTGCATTAGTAACGGAATGACCTAATATTTTAGATATGCACAGAATGTACACAAAATGTATTATATTATATTAGAGTACGATATAATTATAATTATGGTAATAAAGAATACGCGTGTTCGAATATTTTTATATTTAATTAATTTTCAAGAACTATCACCAATCTATATAAAATTAATTTTGCTTTATCAATTTTTAATTTTGTAACGAAAGGAATTATAATATTACTAAATAATAGTGATCGAAGAGTGACATTATGAAAAGAAATTGTAAATCTGCCTGAACACTTTCGCAACTATAATATAATTATAATTATGGTAATAAAGAATATATGTGTTCGAATATTTTTGTACTTAATTAATTTTCAAGAACTACTACCAATCTATATAAAATTAATTTTGCTTTATCAATTTTTAATTTTAATTTAACGATAAGAATTATAATAGTGATTGATAATAGTGATCGAAAAGTGAAAGTATGGAAAGAAATTGTAAATCTGCCTGAATATTTTCGCGACTGACTGTCCCTTTAAAGAGTAAACTTAATCTCTCTGAAATTAATTTCTCTATATCAATTTTCAATTTTCAATCGAAAAATTACGTTAATTAACACTAAAAAATAGTCGCAGAAGATAGCGATGTAAACATAAGAGTATCGAGAAAATTCTGAATGTATTTAAATACATTTGTGACTGACTGTACATTCCAACTGGAAATTTACATTTTTATCAATGTAAATGAATCACGATTTTACAAGTATGATTTCTGTTTATTCCTTGGAATGTTAATTTCACACTGATTCATGATTGCGACGACTCGTGTTTACTTATTAAAATATTAATTTCTTTTGTTTGAACAATGTTCGTGATTGTATTATTTATTGCAAATATTGTTTCATAATAAATAGTATCATTGGAATTCTAAGACAGACTCGAATAAAAACGACAACATTTAATCTACGTTTTATTAAGGAAGCCTCTCATTATGTATGCGATGGTGGCAGCTAGAATTGTTTTGAATATTGATAATAATATATCTGTTATGCCGTAGACAGCATGATGTGGTTTGGTACGATGGCGTTATGAAAGCCACAGTTGAGATACGTTGAACGAGCCGACATACTAACGCAAAATCGTTCGAATATTTGCAAATAAATAGGAAGAAAAAGAAAATTTTGAAACTGTTTATACAAAACACAAGGTTATGAAAAATTATTATCCTCGAGCAAATAAGACTCGGAGGAATAATCCTAATTTTTAACGTCAAACGTGTTGTTCAAAAAATATATTTTGATAAGCATATAATTTGAAAACAAATTAAATTCGACAAAGTTTGTTTATTTTTCTTGAAATAGTAACAAATGATACGTGATAAACATATGATGGTTTAAAATAAAAATAAAATTGTGGTTATTATTATGGAAATTATTCGGTCAAGTATTTTTCATAAATAAATTGTAATATTAATCCTTTCACTCGACGATCTTTTCGTTACAGAAACATAGTAATTCGAAGACTTTGCCATAAAGTCGACGATATTTTCAAAACGGTAAATAAGAAGTGCAAATTAATTGTAAGACGTAGAATTATTTTACCTCGATATTCCATACATCGTTGGGCAATTTTAAATTCGAGATATTAATTAACAATGATTTTTAGAATCTGATTAAATGGTGACTGGAAGGCACCTCCCGAGTGCAAAGGGTTAATACCAGAACCGAATAAATGTATTATAGATGAATGATAGTAATTGCAATGATTGTACGATAAAAATAGAAACTGTACATAATTATGTTCCTATCTGAAAAATTTTTGAAAATATATAGCTACTTTTGACAGAATTAACCTTTTGCACTTGACAATATTTTGGCTAGGGAAGAGTAAAAATTCAAAGATTCTCTGCCATAAAACTGACAATACTTTTTTAAGCAGTAAATAAAGAATTGTATAATAATCACCACGCAGAATTATTTACATTAACTTAAATTTGACATATTAATTAATACAATCTTCCAAATCTGATGAAACGGTGGCAGAAGTTGGCTTCTTGAGTGCAAAAGGTTAATTCTGTCAAAAGAATATATTTTCAAAAACTACATTTTAAACAAAATAAAATGTACAAAAGAAATTCCAGCGATTTTCTGACAGTTCTAGTGTTAACCAATATTCCAGTGCAAATTTTAACCTTCAATTGACGACGTATGATTCTCCTATAGGATATACAGTATATTTACAATACTATTTGTTATTTACTGCTCGATTTTATTACGCCAACTACACCATGCTAATTTACAAACAAAAAATATATTTCTCATTAAAACCCGGATTTAAAAATAATTTTTTAAATTTCGAATCGCGATTTTCCAACTCCATTAACTCCTAACAAAAGGTAGAAAAAAAAGTAGAAATAGAAATTTCTAAGTTTCCAAATTCTAATCCTAGTTTTTTAAAAATGGAAATGAAAAGTAGAAATTTATTTAAATGGAAAAATAAAACGATCAAAAGACTTTGAAAAGCTAAAATTTTGAAAAATTCAAGAAGTTAAATGCTTCGCAGAGCTGATTATTTTGACCTATGCACGCTTCATTTACGCGGAGTCAATTTGACGTGGCGTTAGCTCCAGTCGAAGGGTAAGAATCTGACCTTTCTTTTCCTTTGACACCGGCGTGAACTTTGAGAATTCTCAATTAACGAGGAACCTAATGGAGAAATAGAAAAGATCGTAGTCTCACCTGACCGAGCCCGAGGTGACCAGGAACGGCATAGGCGTTGGGCAAGGACTCAATGGGGAGCTGCTGACGGAACTACGAGTGCTGCTCAGCACGGAGTGCGGACATTGTGGCGGACCCACATGTGCGCTGGAGGACGCGTTTCCACCTTTGCCAGAGGACCGTCCCTTCAGGCACGGGATTTTTGACCAACCACTGACATCCTTGCCTGACATACCTGCGAACAAATACGTTAATCAGTCGTGCTATTGAGCATCCTGCAATCTGAATGTATCAGCATCCCTAGGGATTTAACTGGTCGAAATAGCTCGATGCGCAGACCTTTTGCATACGAAATATTCCAAGTGTGTATTTAGGAACGTTTGACCAACTGATCAGCAAGATGTGACAGTACATAGTGCTTTGTTTTCATATCGAGAAGATAATTGTTTTTAGTCGTCATCGATACTTTAATAGTAGGACTCGGTGATGGGAAATATTAAGCTCCTATCTCACAGGAATCAAGTTTGTAGCGACCAAGTTCTCACCCTCGCCAATAGATGGATTCCTATTTGAAAGAGTTTCGAGGACTTTCGCGCAAGTCCTCGGTGAAGCTTCGATCTCCCTTAACACTAGAACAACCAACTACCAGTCAAAATGACTGGTCCCAGAATTTTCCTTTTTGCAATCACCGAACACATACACCTGCTTTAAGAATAAAATTGGTATCAACTCGTACGAAGAAAGAACTGTAATCAATATATTCACTACTCATCGTATCGCTGAAATTACTATAATCTGTGCACGTTATAATTAGGTATCCATTAAAGATCGGTAGTTCTAGTGTTAAATAGAAATTCCTATGCCACCTAAGTATCCCCGGTCTAAGGCAGGGCTTGCTAGGGCAAAACCAAAAGCTGTATAGTTTTCGTGCCTTTCTATACATAGGCAAACACGCATGCTAATATAAGATAGTTCTTAAGTCTATATTATCCTATAGCGACAAGCGCGGTAGATTAAGTTTGATTTTAGATAGCAAGTGCTTCACGCTGGAGCCATCGATCTCATAATCTAAGTCTTCATTTGTAACTCTTTTGTTCGTTTTGGTTCTTTTATACGTATATTATTGTATCTAGTTTCTGGCCCATTAAACGTATGTCAAATTGCATTGGCCTGCTAGGGTAGCCTTATTGGTGAGACCACTAGCAGACCCGGGACGAAACGCAACCCTTCCTTTTCCTATCGTCTGCAAGAGTGCCAACACAGTTGGTAAAGAGCTTCACTCGAATACATTGAAGGAACAAAGAAGATCGCAGCATAGAAATCAATTATATATAAACCTGGTGGACCCTCACAAGTTTTATAGATATTATTGTAGGATACCTTCAGTGTTGGGGTTAGTGATTGTGTTAATAGCTAGTACCTAGGTTTTAGACGGTTATTAGTGTTCAATAAAGAGCAGTTCTAGAAGACCCGTTACAGTCTTCTAACAGGGCTAGATCCTAAACGCTGAACAGTTCGACGTACGGTACTTTCTATTTATTTGGTTATTGTGAATTGCTGCAAGACTTATTATTTCCTCATTACCTGGGATCACCGGAGAGGAGGATTCCAAAGCCTAATTTAGGGAAATTAGGCTTCAGCACTTAGGATTTGGCTGACAATGGGCCGCAGGGGTCGGGGCCAGGCCGTGTGCCTTGGCTACGAATGATATCGACCTTCCCTGCCATAAACCGAGGATGACATAGTCACTGTCGCCTCTCAAGAAGAGTCGCCGAAGTGTTGCGTCCCGAACAATGCAACTCACGCGGTGGGAGTTTCGCGGGGTTGTAAGGCCCGTTTACGCAGATGCGACAATGTTGCTGGGATGCGACCTACTCTAAATTAATAGAGCTAGACCTAGTTAGGGTTGAACTAAAGAGTTCTAATGTGTTACTGTCTCTCGTACTGAGTTAATCGTCGTGGGTCCTGGCTTGGGTGGGTCGTGATGCTTATTCTGGTTTCGTGAAATTTTTAGAACTCTCTCGTGACTGCTGTCACGGTGGTTTTATAAATTTTGTCTATCTACTGATTGATTGGTGTGAAATGTAAGAGGTGGGTGTGTGTCTTCCTATTGGTTGTGAATAATATTGGGGGTGTATGATAGCTTCGACGTCTTTCTATGGTGATGGATGTTTAAACAATTTGGGTTCTTATGCTTATCGTCTTATGGGTGATATATTGGTCCTTACTAAGGTTTACCAAGTGGTGACTAGGTGATGATGAGTGTATACAAATCAGGGGACGCTGGCAATAAGGATATAAATAGTTCTTCATTTAACCTGGGACGTGCGATCCTAGGGCCGTAATACGAGTTATGTCATAATTGGCTTCTCTGAACATTCTTCTAGCACATGCTATAAGCTTCATAGAAGACGACAAGTAGAATGCACTCATGTTAGGCAAGAGTTATCTTGTAGGCTTCCTGAGTTAATATTAAGTTATACAGAAAGAGAACGACCAATATGTTAAATGAAAAGATATGAAAAATAGCAATGGAGATCATAAAACGATCATTTGTCATAATATAGCAGTATTTAATGCAACATCGTCACGTATATCGCGTCGCAAAGGGTTAATGCCACGATGAACATATGATTAATATTAATGTTAAATTCAATATAAAGATAAATCGTTTGCAAGAAGCTCAGACCAGAGTTCAAAGGGAATCGGTTATTTAGCCATGTACGTGTCTAGAATCATAAAAATACTTGGGCCATTATGTGTAGCCACACATCCGCAAAGGTTAACGATTTGCGGTTGCTGACGCACCAGTTGCGTCACACGAATTTTAATCGTCTACGACTCTTTCTTATTTACACACGTTTATTCGTTCAGTATTTCCTTATGACTCTACTAAGAAGAGTGAATAATAATTTTATAATAATAAGGAATAGAGTAATAATAATTATTTTCAGACTAATAATTTTACGTGATAATAATAATTTCAGCAGG